AATTCATGAATCATGGATGAGAGGCTGGATAGAGAGAACGTGCAAAGAAAGGAAGACGGACGTAACGAAAGAACAGCATAAATAAACGCATATATAAAGACACACATACATAATTAAATAAATAAACAAACACAGAAATACATAAAACACAAAAATAAAGAAAGACATAACTAGAGCGACAAATGAATAGATACACAATAATACAGTATATAACTCAAAACACAACACTAACGCAATAAACAAAGACAGACAAATCAAAAACAGAAAGACATACATACATACACATGACCAAGATACATACGAGAGACATAAACCGTAACATAAATACACATATAATATGTTTGTTGATTGAAACTCCTGCCCCCCCCTCCCACCCCGCCCTCCGCCCCCAGTTCTGCCGGACTTTACCGGTCCCTGAACCAAAAGTAAGTTTTTGGATCTTGGTTGCTGCAACGACCCCCCTGCAAGAAGCTTCACTTTTTGGGGGTTTAGCGGAAAACGCCACTTGATTTCAACCAAAAAGTTAAAGTCTAAAGATCCGTTGCCCAATGGCAGTCCAGGGACGGGGCAGTTGCGTTGATTCCCAAGCTTCGAGCGGTCCGAGTCGATGGCGCTGTCGAGTCGGCAGAAGTTGCAGCGGCCGAAGGCGCCCGCTTCCTTGAAGTGGTTGCTGGCCTCCGCGTATGTTCCAGTCAGGCCTCCCACCCCCACCCCCACAAGCGGGAGGAGGGGGGGGTTCACAGCCTGGAACATATATAGCTCAGACACGGGATCCCCAAACGCATATATGGCTGTGGTTGTCAAAACCGTTTTGGGATCCCATTTTGGGGTACCAGTAGGTGAATTCACCACCCATTTTAGAACCTATTTTGGTGGGGGTGGGGATGTTCACTGGGGGTACGGGAATTTGACCCATGGCCTAATATAGCTCAAACATGGAATCCCCAAAATGGCGCCCTGGCCAACTTGCGGGTGCGATAAACCCTTCCGGGGTTTGGGAATGAACCGGAGCAGGAATCCCTGACAGGAAACCACACGGGATTGTTTATAGGGGTCATTCCATGTCTCATTTCCTGCTGAGCACCAAGAAGAGGCGGCTTTTGCCCTAGCTCTTTAGTCTTGAGCCTCACCCCGATCTCCTGATGCCATTTCTGGGCTGTTCAAAGAGGCCAGGCCCAGTTGGGCAAATCCATCCCAGGAAACTGCAAAGGAATTGGACCCCTTTCGGAACCCAAGGGAAGGATGACGGATTGCCTTGGAACCGCACGGAGTTGTGTTTTGACCACTCCAAAATTTGCAAGGGATCGCCGAGAGGACCTGCATGGTGAGCAAATCTTACCATGCGGAATGGCTTAAAAAAGACAGATGCGCATGTGGTCTTGTCATAAGCGAATGTGTGACACCCTCAGATTGCAACCCACTGCAATGCAGAGCGCCTTAAAGCTTCTGGGTGGGTCGTCTTTTGAAGAATCCCGCTGGGACTCAAGATGGTTTTCGGTGTTCCTTCTGGTTTCCTGCTAAACCGTGCAAACTTGGGGTTCCAACCCATGTCGCCACGTTAGCCTCATTTCGGGAGGTTGACGGAAACCAACGGGGCTAAGAAGTTTTTGACTTCATGGGTGGCCCGTTGCTTGTTTTTGCTTGGAACGGTTGGGTTGTTTTCGAGAAACCAAAGGGATTCCAAGCATTTTGGTTGTCCCATGGGACCCCTATATGACTCAGCAGCAGCAGATGAAGTAAGATTGCACCATCTATAATAGATGATGCGCAAATTTATGCTGGTCAACCGTTAAGGACGTGGCCAACCCCTGTCTTGAAACAGGGCCTCATGGTTCACAACTTCCTATCTGCATGCCTCAGGAGCCGGGAGCGTGCCCCTCAAAACAAACACATGTAGGCATGTGTCTAAGGAACGGAACCCCAAACAATTTGTTGTTTTGCCTGTTGGTTCCTCTTTCAAGCTGAAACTCAAATATTGTAAACAAATCACCATCACCTGAATGTATTGGCAACTTTCGGCACGACATTCTTGCCCCATCCAGCGAGCGAACAAAGACTTGGCCGCAGGCGTCCCGCTTTTGAGAGCCAGCATTGAGGTTGCACTTGATGTGGACGCCTGACTCTCCGGGAACAAATCGCTTGAGATGGTCACACCCCCTGTCAAATTTGGATCCTGGGCAAATCATCAAACGGAATCCCCAAATGAATTCCCCAACGGAGAACCAGCCTTTATTACGGTCATCCGCAGTCCGAAGCTGACTTTACCCAAAGATGAAGACTGCACTAAGCATGCCGTTGTACGCCGAAGCAATGGCACTGGTTGAAGAATGGGGTGCTATACCAAGATCTGCTCATTGGAAAGGAATGCCTGCAATGCTCCCCCTTGCATCCCATGATTCTCTTGATGGTTTGGGTGCGAACCCGATAGCAACCCCCTTTGCACCCTCTCGGAACCCGAAAACGCCCGGAGCCGCTCCGAACCACTGGGCAAAGACCCCAAGCTTTCAGCTGTTGGGGAAGCAAAGGTCAAGCACCAGGTCCCCCGAATATGGGTGCAGTTTGTTGGTACCCGTTTTGGGTTGCCTTAAAAAATCCCCCAAAAAAGCAACCCCCCACCGTTTTTCGGGGTCTCAGCTCAAAATCTTCTAGGTCCTCCAGTAGAGAGGTTAGAATAAGGGTACCAACTTTTTTCTGTAGTCTATTTTAGCTGGGGGAACCCTCCCCCCAAAAGGAGAGAGCAAGAGTACTACTGGGGGACCTAGTCTTTGAAACGCAGCCATCTGGCTCAAAACTTTTATGGGTGCATTTTGTTGGTACCCGTTTTGGGTTGCCTCGAAAAAGCCCAAAACAAACCCAACCTCACTGGTTTTTCGGGGTAAACATCTGTAGCTCGAAACTTTCTGTGGCTGGCACCGGCGGGGCAGTACAAGAAGAGGGAGCAGAAGCCCTGCGCGAAGCGACCGACTCGGCCGAATCGACTCGCACGACGCCTGCATGGGTCAGGTAACCCACCGAGAAAACAACCGGCTTCCCAAAAAACCACATGGCCGAAAAGGGATGGTCAGCCAGTTGTTGTTTCTTCTTTTTTTTCCGGTTGAGAAATTTGGGATGTCTGTCCCAAACCAACGTGGGCTACCAATAAATATATATATATATATATATACTGCTGCTGATCATGTGGTGTGTGGCGTCCACTGAAGGTGTGATGTCGATTCCGAATCAGTTAACTTGGTGAAATACTTCAGCGTTGCCCCCAAGAGTAACGATCCCCTCTAAAATAAATGGCACACACCCCACTCAAAATCAAGGGGTTCTTATTCCAGGCTTCCCACCCAGGCTCCGAATATCACTTGTAGTCATAGCATATCCTTTGGTGGGGAACCCCTCCAAAACTTGGCTGGAAAAATCGGACCCCCGCAAAAAATATATTATCTGTTTTGCCTGGCGAATTGGAAAAAACCAAGGGGACCTTCAACAAAGCGAACAAACAAATGAGAGAAAAAGGGAGCGAACTCTAGGGAAGAAAATTGGAGCCTAACATCGTCTCGCGCTTTCGGCCGAGAGGTGAAACAATCCTTTGATCCATGGCGCGGGTCCCTCGACTTGGGAATTTCCAGGTGCCTGGATCGATGCACGCTGGGTGACACAAACATTTACCAACCTTTGACACAAATTGGGAGGGAGAAATGGGAAAAATATTCGCCAGACATTTTGGGAGTGTTTGGGGGAGAGATGGTCTCTGAATTGATTTGCGAAGGCGTGAAAAGTTGGTTCGCCAGCTTACCCCAATCATTGACGGGGTTTAACGTCGACCCCGCAGTCACCAAGTCGTTGACTAATAGGAAGGGGTGTCCCAGTTTAAAGTTGATGAAAGGCAAACCTGGATTCTTCGAGCAAACCCCCCGGTATCGTTCCACCAAGCTGATTCATCCGAGATCAACATTATGTTTTCTCGTGTCAACGCACGGCACCTCCGTGGAGTCTCGATATCCCATGGGGTAGAAAATGAACTGCATGCCATCCACCTGCAGCGCAAACACACTCCAAACGCGAGCGACAACACGAGCTGGCGTGAGCGTTACCCCTTTGTGACCTCACTAGTTGTGACATGTCGAGACTTTATCAAAATGTTGACGCAACCCACAACAAAGTGTTCAGCGTGCTAGGCAACGTTGGTTTGAATCCAAGCATGGTCGCGTGTGTTTGAAAACTTTATTCCGGCCAAGTAAAAGAGCAGCCAAGGACAGTTCCCAGTAGATCCCAGTTACCATCATCACAGTGGCCTGTGCTTGAAGGGTGGTCCCCTAAAAAACAACCTCTTTTGGAAGCCAGGCACAGATTCGGCTGCCTTGGACACCGGTCTTGTTTAAAGGGCGCGGAATTATTTTGTAAGCCAAGAAGCCAAAAGCAAAAAAGCAAAAACAAAAGCGGGAAAACCACACCTAAAAAACATAGCCCTCCTTTGTTCGAAGGGTTGGGCTTCGCTGTCCATGTCGCTTCCCTTGGAAATGGGGCTCTGGCGCCGCCCGCCGAGAAGACGGGGCTGCAGATGGGCTGCTCGTGGGGGAACTGGCGCTCCCTGGAATTGGCCGTGGCTGTGAAACCACTTGCGAGGACCTGGAAATGACAACAGCGGGGAGGGTCGAGGGTTGAAAGCATGGGTGACCTTTTGGGAAAATCGATTGGTGTCCCTCGCAAATGGTGAATAAGCCAATCTAAACCAGTGCAACCCATCTAGAAATTTCTAACCAAACTGACCGATCAAAAGGACAGCCATGCTGGATGGTTGAGTCACGTTGTGAAAACATCGCGAGCCTTTTTCGGAAAATCCCTGAACCACTGGGTCTTGTTTGTGGGGAACTGGTTGCCCAAGGGCCGCGTTTTCTGGATGCAACTAATGCAACCAACATCACCAAAAGAAAACTCGAACAAATACCAGTGGCCATTTCCAAAAGGGCAATCTCAGGGAACCCTTCACAACCAAAGGAGCCGTCATCCTCTTCCCCCTACACAAAACACGGAGCGTTTGGAAGGCTTCCACATCGTGGAAAGAACCGTCCTGCAAGCCACTTCAAATCCAGCTGGCCCTGTTCCTTGAAAGCACTTGAAGGGGTCCAGGGGTCCATGGTACATTCATCCTTTAAAGACAAGTGATCCATTGGGTGAGACATTCACTACAAAACCTAAAAACACATCTTTCCAATCCACATGTTCTTGCCAACTTTGCCAAGAAACTGGGGTTGGGCCTCTGCCACGTGTTTCAAAATGCGTACACCGCTGAGAAAGGGAACCGTCCCCAATGGTTCGATGTCGTTTGACCACATATAGGTTGCCCAATACAAAGAGGTCCACAATCTGGCTAGTTTTGCCAGGAAATTTTGCCACAAACCCAGATCCGGATTCCCTGTAGATCCTCTTTGAACATCACCCCGCCGAAAAGAAACCAATGGCAACTGGCCTAAAGCCTAACGGCCAGCCATCCAACAAGGGGACATACTATGGAAGGGCAAAATCCTGCACTAGTCGAGACCTACGCATAAAACCCTGCGCCAAGTGGCGCCCGATGGAGTCAGTTCCCCCTTCCCCAAGCACTCTCCAGGGCCCGGGCAGCTGATCGGCTTCAGTCAGCAGCCATTCTACCCGCCTTAGACGCAGACATCCCGCAAGTCGTAAAGAACACAGCTGCAAAGAGCGAGCGCAGCAAGCGTGCAAGCACAGCACGCTTGCCAGCAAAGGCTCTCGCAAAGAGAGCTTGACACGGGAAAACCAAGATTGCGTGCCACAAGGGCACAGGTGTGTGGCTGCGATCTTTTCGCGACATTGCACGTGGCGAACTGGTTAGTCCACATGCTGCTCTGTTACTCCAAGAGTCGCGAAATAAATTACGACGAAAGCTTTGGGCAAGTAATCGCGGCTTCTATCAGGCTCTGCAAACAAACTTTGGGTATGTCTCGAAGCGAGGGAAAACCCCTTTTAGGGTGGCAGTACCCTCAAAAACAGACTCACTTCGACACTGGGCATGGTTGTGAAAGATGCCCGCCCCGAAATTCAAGAGATCAAAGTGGCTCATTCCCATAACCCCTTCACTGTGAGGGGATCCCAGGGTATCACGGGAACACGGCCCAGCCAGTCCCGAGGGGCCAAGTACCTTCCGAGGATGTAACTTGGCCCACAAAAACGAGGTGCCAGGCAAATTTAATTATGATTCTGAATATGTTGTAGTCTGCCCAAAATAGTCTTGGAGAAGGTTCCAGTTAAAGGGCACCAATCACTTTTGGGTATGTGTCAAAATAAAAGGACCCCCAAAAACAACCAGAGTTTTATGTCGGCGTTGCTTTTTTAGTTCCACACCCAATGTTCGTGTTTCCCGCCCTTTTGGCGTAGGGGGTCCTTCCCCGCAGGTTCTGTTTGGAGCCCTTCGACGGGACGGGCGGCTTCACCATCTTGCACTGCATCTTGTCCACCTATCGGCAGGCATCGGCGAGCCCCCCAACAAAAACTGATCGAGTGGCAACTGGCCAAATAGTTTTTATCCGCACTGTTTGGTGGCCACAAAAATGGTCGAAACCCAAACAGCTGACAAAGTCCACAAAATCAGGTCTTTCTGGGTCTGATTGGTTCGGCTCGGATCGAAGCCTTGAGACCCGCCATGTTTGTGGCTTTCCGGCAGCTGGTGGTTCAGATTTCAAGCGTCACATTTGACTTCCGACTCGCGAGCCGCTCGCGAGCAGCTCGCCCGGCCTCCTTCCTCACCTGCGACAGCACCTTGGCACTTCCGGGACCACCGGAGACGCCAGTCCTGCCTCAACCAAGCCAGTTTTGGTGCTAAGCAACTGTGCCCCCTTCTGGACTCTCCGAAAAAATGTCAGCAACAATACACGGTCCTTTCTGAACGGTTCGATGTCCAACATCCACCTTTTGAGGTCAACTTGGATGAATCCAAGGAACTGTACATGTTCAGGCGCTGCGCCTTTGAACATGATTTATTGAGAGCATCTCTATGAGTTTGACGGTCCGCCTATTGACTCAGCTCCACCTAAGAGCTGCACGCGGTGATTAATATGGCGATGGAACACCAGCGAGCTGCTGGCGTACCTTTGCTGCTTTGGGCCATCGGAGCGCCGTGCTACAAAAGTCCCAAGGTGGGCTTCAAAACGGGATTTCGCATCGGGAGTTGTCTGAAAGTGCAAAAGCCATGCCGCTGGAACTGGGGGAGACCTCGAAATGACCCTTATATTAGGCTTTAGGGATCAAGGTTGCCATTTACATGGGTGCGGTCCGGTAGGCCAAACGTTGGCCCCGTGGGCAGAGCTGTCCACCAAAGCAGCTTCAATTCTTTGGGTGTGTCTTGAAAAGCCAGAAAACATGTTTGAGGGTTTAGAAAAAGATGAGGCATCTCCGTTTGTTTTTGAGAAGCTGCTCTGAAAGCTTGCAGATGTGGACTGTAAGTTCTTTTGTTGGAGAAACTTCTTAAACATCTGGGTGTGTGGTCTTGCTTCTTTTTCTTTCTTTTTTTTGGGGGGGGTTTGTTGGGGGGTGCGTGGCTTGGTTGCTGTTTTAGAGTAGAGGAAAGCCAAAGGTGGTTTTCATGTTGCATATGTCCACCCTTTCAAGCCCTCCTTTAGTCCTTTTTGACCTGGATTTGGGGTGTACCTGGTCAAGAAAGAATGAGGAAGAAAAGGAAAGGCAAAGTAGACATGGAGCACGAGTATAAACGTGGATCAAACCATTGCAACCGTTGACCAGTCTTAAAACTGGGAACCTCCACTAATTCCTTGGTGTTCCTGTTGGTTCTTTCAAAACCACCCGCCGTGGAACAAAAAGACACGCCCACAAGACGTCCGAAAACGTCTTCTCGGCTCGCAGCGGTGCTGTGTCGGGAGCCTCTACACCTCGGCCCCCAAACATACTTGGATGACCCCGGCGTGTCGATCTTTCTTTCAGGGTATCGCCTGCTTGAAAAGGAAAACCAACAGGAAGACCACCAATTTGTTGGGTCCCCAAAAAGACACACCTACCCTTTAAACATGGGGAAACCGTTTTTTGGTGGATGACTCTAATTTCCAAGGGTCATGGCGACCCCAGCTAGACATTCCAGTGATTCCATTTCCCAGGCAAACCAAGGCGTTTCCCACCCTTTAACAAAAGAAATGGTGAAGGGTTACCTATGGTGGTAAGACATAAAGCACATCAACAATTGCTCGATAATTCTGACATCCACTAGTGAGAAATAAGCAAACACCCGGATCATGTGAGAGGTTTCAACCCCGACCCGAACGCGAGCTCGGAATTTCCCTTGCCCAGATCAGTTTGGCACTTGGTCTTGTAAGTCACTGGCATATCCCCCTCCCCCCGGTATGCCCCAAAGGTGCAAAGAACCAAGACACCTACTTGGTTACTCACGGGTCGAGGTTAAACATCACCTGTTGGTTCACTTTTGGTGGAGTTTCCTGTTGGAAAGGTAATATCCAGATAAGGGGAACATAGACGGAACCCTACTTGTAACTTGGCGGTTCTCAGCCATCCGGTTTCTTAGAGTTGCGTTTTCTTGGTTGGGTTCCATTTGCAGGGAATATGGAAAGCCGTCCCCTAATTCCAAAGGATAATCTATGGTTGGAAGGGGCTTATTCTAATAGTTTGACGTTATTGCAATTGAATTCCCTGATGAAGCATACAGCCTGCTTCACTTGTACTCGCCTGCCAAAATATATCCTGACTGTAGCCCAGCAACCCAGACCTCCAGCGAGCATGGGATGGGAAACATGGGGAGCCTTTTTTTTGGGGTAATTGATTTTGACGCATCGCACGAGGTCAAGGAGAGGCACTTCAAAAAACACCTGGCGCCCAGCTTCTCAAAATCCGTGGACCCCCTAAACATGGTCTCAGCTTTTCTCTGGGTGGTTTGGAGCTTGGCGGCTTGGAGACGTTTCTGGGTCCCGGTGGTTTCCCAACAAAACCCTCTACAAAGGGGTTCAAGTCCCCAAACCACCAATCCAACCCAACAATTCTAGTTGCCTGATTGGTTTCCTGTTGGTTCCCTTTAAAAAAACACCCCCAAAAAGGGGTTCCCGCATTTGACTACCTCCTCTCCTCTCCCAGTCCGAGCGCAAGGCTGTCCTCATTCTCGATCCCCACTTCTTGGATAGCTTCCAGAATTTCGAGGCCCACCTCGAACTCCGAAATCGATTCGGCGGACAGCTCATGCCTCCCACAGGTCCCACAGAGCCAAGTGTCAAAAGCGCTTGGTTGACGTTGGAAGGGGAGCAAAAGATTAAATTTCTCCGAGCCAAGTGTCAAAAGCACATCCAACATTGATGAGAGTTAACTTGGTTGACGTTGAAAGCGGAGCCCAAAAAATATCAAACAAATTTTAGCAGCCAGGTGGAGTTGGATTTCAACCACTAAACCACAATAAGCAAAAATGGGAAATATGTTTCCCAACAACAACCGAGACTCGGACTTGTCGGGTTGGAAACGAGATTGATTCATGAACAACCCTTAGCAACTTGTAAATGGCGGTCTCCAACTTTACCTTGGTGCTGAAAAAGCAACGTGTTTCAAATGGTTGCAAAATGGAGATCTTTTAAGGAGTCCTGTTCATGAATATGAGAACAATGCCACAATTATCCACGATTCCTGGCCAAAACGCTTTGATTTCCGGAGTTCACTTCCGTGCAATACCTCAAGCGCTCGCGCGATTTCACGTCTTGATGGGCCATGCTTTGCAGAAAGATGCATGAGGTCTATGAAAAATACCCTTGCGCTATGATACCTTGTGCTTTGGGTTGACTTATCGCTGAGGATGCATAAGGGTGTACTCCAAGGGAACAAGGGAAGGTTGTTCACCCTGGGTTCAACAACTTGCCCAACAAAGTAGCTTGAGCATAGATTGCCCTCAGATTCGGGGGGCTCGAGCAAAGCTCCAATGGGTCTTTTGACCACAAAGAAATCGCACTGGGAAACCCTTGGCATGATGGCAAAAGCTTTGCTTGTTGCAGACCGCCACTAAAAATTAACAGAACCAACAACAACTAAAGCATGCCACAAAAAAGGTGAAGTAAATGAAAATTAATGAACATCAAACCAATGTGTCAACCAAATTGGCAAATTACGGACGCCTGTGCCTGCCCACAAACATGGAGCCTGACATAAGAGGAAACTGAACTGCCAGGTACTTTCCAATACTTGGCATGCGAGGATTGAAACCACTTTAGTTGTTTGCAGCCTACCACTACATAATACTACACCTTTCACACAGCCAACAACTGAAAAAACGACAGGTAACCTCCCACAGGTAACAGGAACCCACCAACTCCTCACTTCCTGAGTGGACTGGCCAAACAAAGTCCAAACTTTTTGCCATTAAAATGTTTCCACAAAGTGACTGAATCCATGAACTCAGGGAGTGCGACCAGAGGCCATCCTGTTCCTGCATGAGTCTGTATTTTTTGTCGGACGCCGCTCCCCCTCCAAAAAAACAAATAGAATATAAGATCATAAACTATGGGTGGTTTCCTCTTGGCTTCCCCTTAGAGCCACAAAGCCCCACAAGTGGTTTTCCCTTTGGCTTCCCGTTGGAGCCACAAACCGGGGTACCTCAAAAGAAGACAGGCCGACTTGCCAAGAGCGTTGAAATCGAGGCCCAGGCCCGCAGCGTGTCTTCAAGGATGTGGTCCTGCGAAGGGAAAAATGTGCCAAGACCTTCCATATGGCTCGACTTCTTAAGGCTGCCCTCTTTCTGCGCTGCTTTTTTAAAAGGGAAACCGAAAAGAAGGTCACAGGGCCAAGTCTTTGAGAAACACCCAGGGACGATTCCTTTACTCTTTGAGTATGAAGGGAAACTGGTCCGCCATTTTCTCGCAAAACCGCACACAGGCTCGGCACCTTCCTTGGGATTGCTTCAGAAGCTGCATGGAAAGCTTCCAAATCCCTTCTAGGGCTCCGATTCCTATCTTTTTTGACAGGCTCATGGACCAAATCCATTTCGCAGGTGGATGAAACCCGAGATCGGGACACCGCACTGCGAAATGGATTTTGCCCAAAGGCAATCAACTCTGGCTAAGTTTTAAAGTATAGTGACTATGTTTAGCAATATTTGCTATCTTGGTGGGAAGGCCGGGGTACACCTGTAGGGGTCCCCATATCAATTTATCAACTCTCCACCTACCATCCATCCGGCGAACAAAATCCTTCTTCAGGAGAAGACCATGAAGCCCCAAACACGGGTGTTAAGAGAAATCCCCATGAAACAGCCGTCCTTTTTTTTTGGGCAAACACAACCAGGGCCCTGGAGTGTCAAATAATCAACCTGGTGTCGCAAGCTATGTTCGACCAAACAACCAAACAGGACAACTACGTGAAATCCAGCCTTTCTGGGCTGTCCTCGGATCCCCTGAAAGGTTTAACTTGGCTAAATGGAAACCACCTTTCAGCCTAAGGAACCGGATCGCAGGGGGAGCTGCCAAGTTGCAACTAGGTTTCCTTCTATACTCCCCGTTTCTAAATATTGCCCAGTGCACCTGGCGACTCCACCAAAATTGAAGCAACAGGTGATGTTTGTCCTCGGATCCCATGCTGAAAAGTTGAACTTTTAGCGAGTTGAATGGAAGCCTTACCCGTAAACCAACCAAAGCCACGAAAAAACCCGCTAAAAAACCGAAAGAACCCCTGATGGCCGGTTCCGAAACCGCCCACATCTTTGTTGGGGGGCACCCCACTTCTTCTCCTGGACGGCCAAAAAAAGACTTGCCCCGCCTGCAGGACACCCAGGCGCTTGGCAGCCATGGGGCCCTCCACGTGCTGGGCCTGGCCGAGCGGTTCCACTTGAGCCCAAGGCTCAACATCAAAGGAAACCAACCATTTGGAGAACCCAACTAAGAAACAGGGACTTGGGAACCGCTGGTTTTAGTCAACCTCTGTCCACTTAGGCACTTAGGTTCCATCTTGGGTACCTATTTTTGGCCCATCCTAGCCTGAAAAGGACACAGGTTTTCGTCAACATCTTTCCATCTTGGGGACTTAGGTTTTCAGTTGGGTACCTATTTTTCACCCATACCAGCTTGGGGAGTGTGGGTTTTGGTCAACACGTTTCCACTTAGGTTCCATCAATGGCGTACCTATTTTTCACACACACCAGCCCTGTGGGGAGCCCATTGAAACCGCCTGACCCCCTTTGGATTGGCATTTAAAAGGAAAAACAAAGGAAATTAACCCCGATTTTGAGAACCCAACTGAGAAACCGGAGGTTTTGTTTCCACTTACAAGGGTTCCATCTTGGGTACCTATTTTTGGTCCATACCAGCCAGGTGTTGAAAAGGACACAGGTTTTAGTCAACATCTTTCAGCTTAGGTTCCATCTTGCGTACCTATTTTTCACCCACACCAGCCATGTGGGGGAGCCCTTTGAAACTTAGGTTCCACTTTGGTTCCATCTTAGGCTCCACTTTGAACTTTTCTCCACTTAGGTTCCATCCATGGCGTACTTATTTTTCACCCACAGCCAAGCGTTTGGGGAGCCCTTTGAAACCGCCTGACCCCCTTTAGATTGGCAGTTCAAGGGCAAATCAAAGGACACCAACCCCGATTTGAGAACCCAACTGAGAAACCGCAGGTTTTAGTCAACATGTTTCCACTTACAAGGGTTCCATCTTGGCTACCAGCCATGTGTTAAAAAGAACACTTGCGATCGGTGCGATAGGTAGGGAATGACCTTCAGAGACGTGCTGGGAAGGAGCCGGTTTTGGGGATTCCCTTCAAGGAAACCACATAGGGTATTATCTATAAGGGTCATTCCATTTCTCATTCCCTGCTGAGAACCAGCAAGTGGTCTATTTCGGGGTGTGAACGGAAAGTAGACAGAGGTTCAGCTCGTTTCGGTTCCCCTGTACTTGCCTTGCAGGAATTGTGGCTGTCATTCTGGTGTCACTGAAACAACCCAAGTGGATTAAACAACCACCGCAGCCAAAGGTGCCTAGGAACCTCAAACATGGGAGGTTTCCTCTTGACTTCAACACAATCCCACATAGAGTGCCCTCAAAAAGATAGACAACGGCCAAAAAGCCTTGCGGGGAGGGCGGATCAGCTGCTAAAAGAAGCTTGTTCAAACAAGAAAGGGTGAATTGTAGGATAAACATGGGATGGTAACTAGGGATTGGACAAATGATTGTCCTCTCTCCCACTAACATGACACTTGACAGGGGATCCATCCAAGAGGAAACTGATCTTTCAAATGCAATCCCACAGGTGCCATGTTAGTGGGAGGAAGGGTACCCTTCCACGAAAAACCGTTCAGTCTAGGTCATAAACTTTGTGCGCAGGTATACTGGAACATGATTCGTTTGCCTTCTTGGCCTTTCACCCTGCAGGAATTGCGCCTATGGTGTAACCTGCAACCTACAGTAACTGGAGTAAACAATAGCCAAAGGTGCCCCAAAAAGCCGTATGCGGGGTGAAGTGTACAGTTCAGCAGGTCGCAGCAGTCGCATTCCCCAGTAGGTGAGGTCGCGATTTACTCAGAACCGCGCAGGAACTTCCTGCCCCCGCTATATATACATATATATATAACGTTAAGATGCTGAGGTGTGGGCTGGGCGGGGCGGGTGGCTCAGAAAAGGACCCCCCCGAATTCCGCGTCCTTCTCGGCCGTGACCCACTTCTCCCCAGCGAAGAAGCGCACGGCCAGCTGAGTGTGCTTCGGGCCTCGGGGTGCGCAATCCGCAACCGGGGCCCCGGCGAAAAACCTGCCTAAAACCGGATACAGTTGAAAGAAGTTTGGGGTGTAATCTGCCATGTTTACATAGGGCTAGTCTTGCGGGTTTAGGAACCTGGGTGCTGGATCCGGGCCTGAAATGCTAGCTTCCTTTGGTTTCCGTTCGAACCAATCCTGAAACAAACACATCCTTGGGGATCTAGAAACAGGTCCAGAAAAAACAATCCATCCCATTTGGTTAACACATATTCAAAAAATGTAGCACACAAACACCAAAGCAGAACAAAGGCTGCTTTAGAACATGTATTGAATGGAAACCCAAAGGGATACCTTTCAAATCTGCCGTTACTTGAAGGCTTTTGCAACGCATTGTCCCTTCTTGAGGGTCTGTGTCTGCTCAATTCAGGGCAGCTTTGCTGGCACTTGCAAAGGACAACAAGAGACAAAAAAAAGGAAGCCACTTGGCAGATTTGGGCGCACTGGGCATGTATTAAACTAGGAGGACCCTCAACGAAACAACACACTTCTCTCCCCCCCAACACCTGCACACACACACACACAGCAAACAACAAACATATGTGGCCTGCCTTTAGTGTGTCCGTAAACCAAGCTTCACCCCAAAAGAACAACACAGCTATTTTGAAAACACCTCTGTCTATCTATCTGTCAATCGATCTATCTATCTGTGTATCTATCTACCGATCTCATCTATCTGTCTGTCTGTCTGTCTATCTGTCGATCGATATTATCTATCTATCTACCTACCTACCTAATTCCCTATCTATCTATCTACTTACTTACTTGTCCATCTATACATCTATCTTATTTCTGTCTCTCTTTTTCCATCTATCCGTGTGGGCGGACACCACTCTGGGAAGCCTAAGGGCCCCACACCACAAGAAGAGGCTCATCTCCGAGGCTGGCGAAACGGCGCTCGGCGATCAGAAAACGTTCGTCCCCGCTTGGCTTGGATTACCATCCCCGTGGCACCTCGGTTCTGGACAACTTCCATTTGCGTGGTTGCCCCCTGGAAAAAAAATACGTCCAGTAGTGATCGATTCCCTTTTAAAGCCAACAGGGGAAAATCAACAAAAATACATCTTCAAACAAATGGAAGAAAAAGGGAACCCTGCAAGGTAACCATGTCAACAAGCAGTGACCAAACGAGACAATGATGCTGTGGATGGTATGCCTGCTATTTACCAGGGGGATCATGGTGTATGGGTTTCTGGGCGACGGTGCGAAATGGATTCGCAACCATCCACAGTAGTGACCAAAGAAGAAAAGAAGGGTGGCACTGAACCACCCTAAATTACACTCTTCTTGCAACGTGCGCCATGGGCAGTGCAACATCGCGGCCCAAAGGCATGGGTGCAAACACATCAATGCGGATACCTTTGAGGTAGGGGCGCGCGCTAATCCCATGAAATGTTCCTTTGGAAGAAGCCTTCGCAAAAAAAAAACATCGTCAAACTGAGTGCATTCAAAACACGCCCGTCTGAGATGAGCTGGAGTGACTTAAAAGCGCCAGGAAACCAGGAAACCCATGGCGGGGGGCTGTATCTCAATGGACAAACAAGTCCACCTTCCTGGCAGTTACAGCTTTTTCCAACCAGATTGGTCACTGGAATTCCCCAAGTCAGTTGCGAACTGGCGGTGTTTCTTGCAACGATCCCCACCTTTGGAGCTTCCAAAAAGGAGACAGCTCGGAAACCCCAAACAAGTCAACCAGTCATTGTTGAACAAGAAAAAAAGAAAAAGAGCAGGGCGATCAAGTAAACAAATAATAATAATAATGAGAATGATAATGATAATGCTGATAATGGTAATAATAATAGAATTAAAAAGAAACAACAACATAACAAATTCCCCAGGACGGAGCCCACGCCTATTGATCGCCCCACGCGCAACCTCAATGGCGGAGCCCCGATCCACACGAATCGAGCGGATCGTATGGAGCAAGCCACAGGCACAAATGGAATAGGTGCACGCGATGTGTTGATGTTATAATATATTGATATACAAAATCCGTATATCTATCTATCTATGTATGTAGCTATGTATCTATATATATATATATATATCTATGTACCTATGTATCTATGTATCTATGTATCTATGTATCTATGTATATATGTATCTATCTATGTATCTATGTATCTATCTATGTAGCTATGTATCTATGTAGCTATCTAGCTATGTAGCTATCTAGATATCTCTCTCTCTATCTATCTATCCATCTATCCATCTATCTATCTATCCATCTATCCATCCATCCATCCATCCATCCATCCATCCATCCATCCATCCATCCATCCATCCATCCATCCATCCATCCATCCATCCATCTATATACACAAACACCACCATAGGAACGGCTATAGGTGGCATTTACTCTTGGCAAGCAAAAGGAAGCAACAATCCCGAAGTAATGGGGGGGGGGCGTACCATATGCATATATTAATGTATATATATATATATATGCAGAGTAGATATGTACATAATATGTATCAGCGTCAACTACCCCGGTCTACGCGAACGAACTCGTGTCTCAAATTTTGCACGAATTCAATGCTATTGACGATGGAATCAAAACGATTGGGCGTGGTTGCCAAAATAGCTTGGGTAACCCCAAAATGACAAGCGCTCTGGACAGTGGAAAGGACTAAAACCCAAAAGATCTTCTGGTGGTGTAGTTTCAGCCCATATCCACATGATCTATCATGGGCCCTTTCACCTTACCGATACTTGGTGGCTTGGTTTGGAAGGGAGCGGGCCCAAAATGGTCTCAGAAATTCGGTGTCTCATACATTAGGATAGAAGGCCGTACCTTCCAATTGCTTGCGGGACGTATTTCTCAGACTCCTCATATGGCAAAAAAAAGGGGTCAGTGGCACATGTGGCTGGATCAAAGTGCCCGTTTGGTCCTCCAACCGTCTTGAAGGAACGTCCAACCATCGAACAGTTCATCGCGCCACCCGAAAACAGGGCACTCCAAACACTCGGCTGTATCGATGGAAGGAAGGACTATTTTGTTACGGGAATCGATTCCCATGCCATGTGACGCCATTTCCAAGGGGTCCAAGTATCAAAGTAAACCCATGTTATTTCAAGTCTGGCTGTGCATTCATCTGTGGTTGGGACTCTTATCCTTACTTTCACTTACCCGACTTCTGGCTTTCACACCCAGGATCCGGCTCAAGCTGCATGTCGCGGCAGCCTCCGCGAGTTGGCACGGACTCCTTTTGGATGCAAAGAACCCCCCGGCTACGAGTTAGCTTGCCACTGAAACGGGATGGCTCGAAGTGGCCAGGAGGCCAGGACCGAGTCTGCAAAAAAATCGCCCAGCGTCCATTTGGCTTCTTAGATCTTAGAGAGCTTAGCGCCGTGGGGCCCGCGCTTCTGAAACTAACGAATGACGGGGATTTATCTTACAATCGAATTGTTTAAGACCATGTTCCAATCAGAATCCCCATATCAAGATAGAACTTGAATAGAAACTTCTTTCCAAAGGATATTGACAATCTGAAAAGCAGGTCCTGGCTATATCATAATTTCATCTAGGAACTCTAAGACAAAGACATTTAGACTGCTATACTTAAAGCCTAGAAAATAAAACCTTGCACCCCAATTGAACTCAAATTGCATTGTCCTTGAATTTCTTCTACTAATTGTTCATTCTGTCCAAGCGGCAGGACAGTTGGAAGAAAAGACATGACTTGATTCATTTATTGAGTCAAATAAAACTACAAGGGGAAAGGCACTCCTATTGAAACTTTGGCTTAACATATAAATCATACTTGACATGTTTCCTTAGTGAGTTTCACCTGGATGTCAATCACACTTTTCAACCTCACGTGGAAACACAAACATGTCTGGGCCGTTCAAAATGGAGGGTTGGCCAATCCGATTTTCCATGCCTACGAGGCCACTACAAAGGGACCCCCAGGCGCAACCCGAGGGATGAAGGATTTGAACAGCTTGGGCATGTCCAAGCTTTGCAGAACCCTCGAGTTTTCACACAAAGACATGATCAACACAAAGTCAAATGAGCACAGCTCAGGATCCGGCGCCAAGGGGTCTGACATTCTGGTGTTTGTTGTCGGGAAACTCTAATGGTGTTAAGCACGTTTGCAACAAATGCAATCACCTCAGAGTTTTCCAATTTGCTTGTCTTTTATTTTATTTTATTTTTATTTTTTTCGTGAAACAACTCGATATGTTCCGTGGTTTTGTGGTTTAGCATGGTTCCAAAAACGCAGGCCCCATGGCGGACGCTGGATTTTCTCTATCGCGGGACCTGTTGGTGGCCATGGGTTAGGTGGGGATTTTATGTGGGCCCCATGACCATGGGTAGCGCAGAATGGGGCGGCTCTGGCGCTTGCACTAGTTCGCTGTCACTTGTTCAAAGCGAATTTTCGACCTCTTGGTTTCCGGGATTTGGTTCATTTAAGAGGTTGAGCCATTAATTTTCTGCAGAAATTCGGGGAAGCGTTTTTTCACGCCACCTTTCGATTCCCTTCCGCTTCTCTTCCTGTGGGGTGCTTCTTGGAAGCATGCCATATTATGGCCTGATTTGGTTGGTTGAAAGAGCTCACCATGACGCAGTCCTTTTACTTACGGAACTCAAATCAAACTTTCGGAATTGTAGTCAAGAATGCAGGTTACAAGGCAGATGTCCCATTAATTGTAGAACTTGCAGGTAAAGACAACAGGCGTCCCTTAGTTCCCTTTTTAGGACCTGCTAAATTGGCAGTTTCATTGAAACCCTATTCAACGTCATAGCCTTAAACGGTCCGAACAAGTGTGAAGTCAAACTCAGGAAGTAAGCTGCTAATTGTTGAAAGGAAGTGGGGAACACCCAAAAGGGGCAATGTTGGATGGTGCCTTGTTGTATTCAGTAGTGTCCACATGGATTGTGCCCCCCCCCACACCCCCTGCAAAAAAAAAGCCGCAATGAGACACGTTGAAGGATCCGCGTGGGTAATGGGGTTTCCGATTTCCCCCAGATCGAACTTCATGTTAAAGCCCCGGGTGGTCTGAAAGACCACTCGCAAAAATTATGAAAGAAAGCTGGGCTGGCCGTTGATTGATCCCCTACGAAAACTTTCAGTGGCTTAGCAAAAACCACCACTAAGCCCTAAACACCTAAACCTTCAGGAACCGGACGGCTGGTTCCGAACCACCAAGAAACTGTTGGCTATCTGACACTCTGATTCCTTTTGTCCATAGGTAAAGGGTCAAACTAAAAAGCAATTCCAACCTTGATAAAAATCGGGCGTTCCTGAAAAAACGCCAAACGGAAAACCTGAGGAATTGAGCAACTGTGAGAAACCTCATTTTGTGTGACCTTTGGACACTTGCAGGGCCTTTTTGCTACGTGGGTTGGGAGGCCGTGTGCTCGTTTTTCTCCGGCGGGCTTGGGTTCGGCGCGCCTGCAGCACAGAACTTGGGCGAGAAGTAGCTCTGATGCCTCCGGCAAACATTGGCCCTGAGATTCAAAGGGCTTTCTACAACTAGGTCCTCCAGTAGCGAGGTTCGAATAAAAGTACCCATTTTTTTCCTGTAGTCTTTGTTAGTAGGGGAACCCTCCCAACCAACAAAGAAACGGAAAGAGTTGGCACCAATTGCTGGGGGACCTAGACAAGAAAGGACGGTCTCACGCGTGACATTCTGTTTCCGTCCCAGTTCTGAGGGCGGGCGTGCAACTGCGTATCGTTGGCTCTGTGTTTCTGAGACCCCGGACATGCCCCTAGGAGACTTTCGACACTTCATTCAGACCAGCACAAAAAATTCGCTCACGCGTTTAAAAGGCCCGTTCACGGCAACAAGAAGTCGTTCATGGCAGTTTTACGCCAGTTTCACACGGGCCCGAACAGTTCCGTAAGATTTGCCTGGACTGCAGTGAAGCCAATCAACCACGGAAACCCCACAAAAGCCTCAAGTTGCACAAAAAGCAAAACGTTCACGGCCTTTGAACGGTTGGTCAATGCGAAGAAAGGCCGATTCTTCGCGTGTGTTTTTCTTCTTTTGGACGATGCATCCCAGGGTTTGACTTCAAAGGTGGGTACCTTCGACTCCCAGGTCAAAATTTCCCATGGACATGGACCAAGTCGAGACATCCCGTGCTTTGGAGGCTGAAACAGCAAAGGCACCCTCGGGTTTGTCTCCAATGGAGGTGTTCCTTTGGTTTGCCTTGAAACCAGTCGCCAAGAAAGTTCCCTCAAAAGACACACCCATGCGAGGCTGCGTCCTCATTTGGAGGATGAAAGCGAAACCAAAGGGAAACCAACCAGTTCTGTGGCGATGATTTTGATAGTGACTCCCTCCAAAATATGTTGTGAGCATAAAATCCCTACACAAGATGTGATGGCCACTAAAGGGTCCCATCGAAAGTCAAACCAATACCCATAGTGAGATTTACAACAGGCATCGTCAAAGAAAGATGTGCGCCCACTGTGGCAAGCAAAGGCTCTGGCAACTGCCTCTTTCTATCTTCGGGCTCGCAAAATTCATAGGTTCAACCGAGCGTCACCTGGCTTTCCCAACAAGGCCCCCAGCGTGGGCGAGCCAGGCGTTGTCGGCTTGTCTAGGCGTGGCCAGCAAAACTAAACGTACCTCCCTGTACTCACATTGTAACATGGCACCTGATTCGACTTTCGGGGTGGCTTGGACGGTTCTCCTTTTGAAAGGGACCTGGTGGGTTACACGGCAACGCGGACAGGAGGGTATTTGCCCCGAATGTCTGCCCAAAGGAAGCCTTTCCACCTGATATCACAGTGACTACTTCTCCGCAAGAGGTTTCCTTTCATTGGGACCAACCCCTTCCCACCAAGCTCCTCACAAGGCAAGGTTCGTTCCCAACAGGGAAAACAGCACTGTACCACCAAAGTGATTGACCACTGGAAAAAAGGAATTCCAGGCAGAAGGGAAATGACACCTGCCCAAGATCAGCGAAAAGAAAGCTCTTGGTAGGGCATGTGGGTCTATCTTTTGTTTGGGAACAATGTTTGGGGTTGGTTTGAAAGGACACCAAAGGAAAGCAACACACTTGGGGGGTTCCCTATTTTGAGACAAACCATGTGTCAAATGAATGATGAACGACCTGAAGTGGGGTTCTCTTTTCCAAAACAAATCAGCCCAGAGTTCGGGTCTGGGGACCTTCACGTGGAGCTCGGAAAAGGTCATCTGTCCAGCTTTGAGCCTTCCGAAGCCGGATGCCAATGAGTCCAGCTGGTCACTGGATTCTTGAAATTGAATTGACTGGTCCTGGTTCCTTCCCTTGCCAACCCTTGGTATAATAACAAACAACTCTTTTTTGCAGCCCACTAAACATGCTAAACATGCACAGGACCAACAAAAACAACACATGAGAAACCCGTGAAGCTCGCTGTCCTTGACTGGGTTCTTTGGGTTCCGAATGAAACCTGGAGCTCACAAGTTGAAGCTCTCGGACCGCTGGAGTGAAAATCCACGCCCTTCACACAGCTTTTAGGTCACCTGAGCTTTTCAGGCCCCATTATTTTACCAAAGTGGCACTGACTGGCATGTTGAGAGGGGAAACACTCACTTCTGACTTTGATCACTCGTCAAATCGCCAAAACCTCTGGCTCTTCGGACCCCCGGCCACTCGAGGGCGACAGGCTGGATGCCTTCTGCCTCAGCGTCGACGTGGGGCTTTGGGAAGCCCTGCAGCCCCAAGCACGACATTGATTTGAGACTCACTTCCTGAGTCGATGGCCCGAAAAAAAAAGAAAAAAACAAGACTTTAGACTCACTTCCCATCGAGTGGATGGCCCAAAACAAAGTACCCACGACTTGTTGTTTGAGGTAAATAAAATGGTCTTCGCAAGAAGTACAAAGTCCAGCACCTCTTGTGAGCGCCGAATCCTCTGGATAAAGTCCAGGAACTCAGGAAGTGAGTAGATCGGTTAGCCTTGTCTTGAGCCAAGTGTGTCCTTGGTGCTTACCATGTCTTTGGGTAGCCTCTCATGCTCCCAAAACATGTGAGAACCGGGGCCGTTGGACCCTTGGGGCCGCGTTTGTTTTGATGGGACCGAGACAATTTCGCAGTGGGTTCTCAAAATCCAAGAGGTTCGATCTAGCAAAGCAGGCCCTTGCACAACACTACCACCAGTTCCATCTTGTTCTGGCGGAAGGGCGCAAGATTTGCGGTCCATACGTGTTTCTCAAGATCAGGGACCCATCTAGGGGGTTCCGACTTGTTGAGGCACTGAGCTGAGTCCGTGTCAGAACCCACTCCACTCGTCGCGCTAGTACCTCGGCCAGCTGCTGCCTTCAACTGAATGCTGACCCCCGACTAGTAACCCTGCCACCCCCAAATACTGATCAGCAGGTCCCCCTGGAAGAAAGAAACCCGCCACCAAAAAGAAAGGGAACCTCCAAAAAAACACTGGTCGACATTTCGATTCCTTGAATGGGAACCACCCAGAGGTCCGCGAGTTACTTGGCCGGGGGGTGGGGGGTGCTTGCAGCCATGTTGAGGTAATTCCTGTGACCTCGATCCGTCCAGGATCTAGAAAAGTGTCATGGCGTTACGCCGAAGTTGACTTAAAAAAGCCCAAGCATTTCTCGAGACTCAAGCACTCCGGGGCCCGTCCTAGTCTGTGCGACCAAAACCTGGGAAGCCCTCACGATATTCAGAACTGGAAGCTGGAAGGATTTCTCTCATCTGCAACCTGAAGTCCATACTCCGCCGCAATTCTGGGCTGTCCGCTTTCGGATCCCGTTCTAAGAGTTTAACTCTTGGGTTAAATATGGACACCCAGCTACTAAACCAACGAAATGCCACTACACTCGAACTGGGCGGCTGGTTCCGAACCGAGGATCAACCGCTTTTGCCTGGTTGACGTTGGGTTTGGGGAGCAACAAATGAAATTTTAGCAGCCAAGTGGGGGATTTCAACCACTAAACCACAATAAGCACAATGTTTCAAATGTTTCCCAACAACCGAGCTTGGTTCCTGCAATGGCCTCAGACCTTTCTCCATACCTTCCCCCAATAAGTATTTCTGGTGGAGTAAGCCCCTCGAACCGAACTGGCCATCGGCGTGTTGGCGGAACCTCAAGGTATGCTGAGGGAATTGAAGTCTTTTAAGCCAAAACTTAAAACCTCTCTTCCATACATAGGTGGTACATGCTCAACAGGCGTTCCTTTCTTATCTACCAGAGCGTTGTCTGCTTTCTGGTGGTCTGCTTTTGGTGTGGCGGTTGCCTAGGTCCTCCAGTGGAGAGGATGGAATAAGGGGACACTTTTTTTCTGTAGCCTATTTTGGTAGGGGAACCCCCCCCCCAAAAAAAAAGAGAGGGTAAATTGGGCACTACTGGGGGACCTAGTCGCACAATGTGTTCTTTTTTTGGTCCTGGCCTTTGGCAATTCAACCAGGCCTGATCCAGCATCTGCAGAAAGTCCTGGTGTCGATCTGCGCCTCGGATGGACTCGGGACAAATTGGTTGATAAGCCCTGGAGAAATCAGCAGTTGATGAATAGGGTTTCCTCAGATGCCCAGCGGATTTCCCTGGGAAAAGAAGGCATCTTTTTGGGTTGGTTGACTTTACAAGAAAAGGAAAAAAGGGCACCACTGGGCAACTGGGTTTCTGGGGCCTGGGGGAACTCTCCAAACGTGGTCTGATTCCCAACTAAACCCAACTAGGTCCTCCAGTAGAGAGGTTAGAATAAGGGTACCCTTTTTTCTGTAGTTTATTTTAGTACTCCCCCCAAAAAAGGCTAAAAGGGCACTACTGGGAGACCTAGCCAAAAACACTCCCAAACGAAGAAACTGGGGCTGGTCTTCCAAAGATTCCGCCGGGGAGAAACACACCAATCCCCGAACATTGTCGGTCCCGGGACTCAGCTTGGCCGGTGAGATCCTACCTGAACCAAAGATGGACCAGGAAAAGGAGGGACAAAAGCTCGGCTTTGGACCAAATCTTTGTTTCACAATTTGCGATATTCAAACCGCCCGACTCCCTTCTGATTGGCATTTAAAGGGAAACAGAAGGAAACAAACCGTAGGAGACCCCAATTTTGAGAACCCAACAGAGAAACAGTAAGGTGCTCAGTAGGGAATGACCGTTCCGGGTTTTGGGAATGAGCCGGAACGGGATTCCCGAATACAGGAGACCAAATCGGGGAAGCTTCTTTTTTTTTGGGGGGGGGTCATTTGATTTCTCATTCCCTGAGCACCAGCAAAAATAAAAGACATAGTTCTGGTTGGGAGACCCCATCGGTCAGCGTCCAGTTTTGGATCGAGAAAGCACCACATTCCCAGCTTCATCTGCTGAGGGTTCGCAAGTTTGAGACCAACCAACATCAACTAGCCACAAAAATGTATTAAAAGAGGGGTACCTCCAGTAGAAGGTCAGAATAAGGGTACCCTTCTTTCTGTCGTCTATTTTAGTAGGGGAAACCTTCCAACCAAAAAAGGGGTTAAAAAGGGCACCTAGCTTCGGTTTCCTGTTCCCCTTTACGAGCAACCAACAACGGAAATGCAGCGACTCCCAAACGGCGCGGCGCTTCACGTAAGGTTCCAGCGCTGGTCCACTTCCGCGAGCCTCGGAAAGCGCGACGAAAGGATGGATGGGCGTGGGAAAATAAAGGAAAGTACATACCTTTCTAGGGGTACCTTCCCCATCAAAAACCCAGGGGAAACAGCCGGTTTTAAAAAAGAACGATGGTTGAAAAGCATGAGGAATCAACCCCTTCAACCTTACAACATCCAAGTTCCAGGGGTGCCTTTTTTTAGGCCCCCCCCGCAAAAAAAAAAAACACGGATGGTTTTTATCCGGTATTTCCTTTTGGTGTCCATTTAAAGCCACACAAAAAAAGGTACCTCACAAAACGACACACCCATCTGTAGCACGGCTATTCTACACTTGTTTTCGAGGTTGACACAGTCAGGACATTGGGGGTGGGGTTGAGTTTCCGATCTGCGGCTCCGTGGTCCCCCAAACACGGCAGTTCCCAAAACGGCTTTTTGTCGTCCTCTCTTGCAACGAGGGGGGGGGGGGGCAATTCCATTTTCCCATGCCAGCTCCCCCACCCAAAACTGCGAATGTTGCTTGAGGCTTTTGGTGAAGAATGAAGCGAAGAATGACTTGACGGGCAAGGCAGGAACAAAAGGAACATGCACTTTGGCTTGTGGTTGGTGATTTCACTCGAAGTACATATGGGGTTGGATCGTTGGGGTCTGGATCAGGGGGTAGTTGGAAAACCAGAAAGCTGCTAAGGTGAAGATTAAAACCAACACCAAATTATTTACTTGGATGATTGTTTTGTTTCGTGAGCATTGTGTGGGGGCTAGGTCTAAACATTGCAACAACATGGTAAGCATTCACTGCACAACTTGAAGGACATGAAGCGGTAGACTTGGAAGCCTTGGACAAATTGGTGCAGTGAAGCTGCGGACCCCCCCAACTGGTGCCTTGCTTTAACTTCACGACAACCCCACTCAAACCAGCGGGGAAAACAAGCGCGCCTCACTTTCTTGGGTTGTTTTTAAAGAGAACAGTGACCGAAAAGACACGTCGGAGAACACGGGCACAGGGTTTGGCGTGGGGCTTCGGCTTGGTGTGGGATTCCTCCTTGAACTCCAGCAGGGCTTGAGCCGCCTCTTCTTGCGTCGCGTGGATGTGACCTCGGGGATTTGTTGGGGTGCAGCTATGTCTGGGTTGCTCTTCCGCAACAGGTCTAGCCCATAGGTGACCTTTTGTAATAATAGATGGCCCGGGTAAACCAACCTAAAAAGGGACACCAGTGGTCTAGCCTTTCTAAGTGTCATGTTGAGAATCCCTTTGTGTCCCAAAGGTCAGGGCTAAACTGGTGTAAACACATCGAACTCAAGCACCCTGTTGGTGGGGATCCTTTGAAATTCAACCGGAAACAGGGTGTCCGTATTTCCCATTGGCCATGGATTAACTTGGTGGGTAGTGAGCGCCCAACAGGTCCAAACAAAACCACCAACTGACACATTGCCTAGGTCCTCCAGCAGAGAGGTTAGAATAAGGGGCACCAACTTTCTTCTGTAGTCTATTTTAGTAGAGGAGCCCTCCCAACCAAAAAAGAAACGGTAAAAGTTGGCACCAATTGCTGGGGGACCTAGTTGCCTTTCAAGGGTGCCGGTGGAGCTCTGCTAGAGACGCAAACGAAACTCCCAGGAAGCATTGGGCTACCATTTTGAGTCATCAGTGCTAAGCCGATCGGAATGAAAATGGTCTACCCACCATGCTTCAAGAACTGAAACGGAATTCCGCACCCATTGGCAAGGGACTTGTCCCTTCTTCAATATCGGTGTTTAGGGGACGTGACTCATTTGTTGACCCCATAAAACTGAAACCACGGAGTGTGTCCCTAACATGAGCCTTGAGGCAATCAACAATGGAACCCCCAAACACGGGACGACAGAAGTGAAGTTGCCAAGCGCTATTCTAAAAATGGCATCCCATTCCCCAAAATAGTCTGAGCAAAAAACTTCAACCAGTTTTCGTCTTGCCCGACGAAATGGGTTCAACCCAGAAACTGGCCGAAGTTTAGGTGAAGTTTAAACCAACCCCAAAGGGGAAATACGATGGATGCAGCCACCTAAGTGGTGGGACGTGTTGCTCCGAATTCTGGTGTCCATCTCGAGTCCCTTCAGATTAGCCTCTCTCTGGGACCTCTCTGTGTCCCCTGCACAAAAAAACGGGTTTCAATTGTTTTGGTGTCCCTCACAACCAACCCCAAAGAGGGTACCGATTAATTCAAAAACAAAAACACAAACACATACCCAAGCCACTACTCCCTTGACTAGAAACTAGCGCATTACCCATGTTAACTGGGCTGTCGTCAGATCCCCTGATAAAAGTTTGACTGTTAGTGGGCAAAATGGAAACCCCCACAAAACCCGACTAAAAGCCGCAAAACTTCAGGGGATGACTGCGGACAATAATGACAATGGGGCCACAGGAGATTCCTACAAACAGTGGTGGGCTGTTGGGTTCCATGTCGAAACTGTGGAGATATATAACTATACCCAGTGCTTCCAGGCGTTTCGTCATGATAGCAGGCTTGCCCAATGGCCCTGGCTGCAAGCGAAAAGGTCAACCTCTTTGGGCGCCTCTACTAAAAATTGACCAAAATGGGAGAACCAAAGGTTGATTTGCTTTGGGCAACTGAGCTACTATAGGGTCTCTTCACGCCAGCCGGAAGCGCTGGGATAGCTTGACGGGATCCCTGGTTGCCTACTATATATAGGGATAGGTTGAACCTGGGGTTACTCCGCCGACCCCTTCTCCTCAAAGGGGGGAGCAAGCATCGGCGTCGTCAAAATGAAGGCGCCGAAGGTGCGCTGGTGATATCTCAGTTCTGAGTCGTATCCACCAGACCTGTGATGCGTTGCGCACGGTTTTGGCCACACTTTCTGCGGCTTGTGGCGTTGGACGCGGTTGTTCTGAAGCTGAGTGAAGCTCCAGGGATGCTAGCGCATCATTGTGAATATCGTTGTCCGCTTGCACTTCATATGTTACGGCCGGGGGATGGATCATCATTATCGGCGTCATTGCTCGTCCTTGTCTATCCTTAAATATTTTTGTATATACGTTTCAAGTGTCCAGTTGCAGACCGACTTGACACGCAGGGGATGTGTCGTGATGATTCTGAACAGCACTGCGATTGTCATTATCACTTCTCGAGATGTTGGAAATGCGTTGTGTTGACTTGTCATCATCACTGCTGGTGATGCCGGGGGTGCGTCGTGATGATTACCAACATGGCGATCACGATCATCAGCATCATTATCGTCGTCCTGACTCGTCCTGCTCCTTATTCTTAATCTGATGCCGGGGATGCGCGATATAGAATTCCGATGCGACGTTAGGCCTCGCTTTGCAATTCAGGGGATGCTTTGATGAAAGTTCTGGTGACACGGCTGATGACCACATCATTAATGTCAGGCTTCGTGCGGGGTACGTGCCTGCGCGACCCTGTCTCTGTCATTTTCTCGCTGTGGGCGCGCCCGCGCGCCCCGTGCCAAGATCGTCGGCGTTGGACTTGGTTGTCTTGCGTTCCACTACTTTACGCTGGACAACTCCGGGAACACCAGCGACTGCTGCGAATTTGAATTTGCGCGAACACAGGCGGCCCGCGCGACCGAGAAAAGACAAATCAGCTGGCTTCCTTTTGGTTTCCTTTTTGCTTTTCTGCGATCTTCTGGAAGGAAACCGGGTATCCCTCCTGAGAACCGTCAATAAAGTTTGAGCTCGTTACGGGTCGGCGTCACGGGGGGCATTTGAAAACTAAAATGATGGGCAGCACCTGCATCATATCTGCTAGGTGTTGTTCAATCGAGTTTGGGTCCAGCAGGCTTGGGCTTGTGGGTGCGCAGGCTTGCCCGGGTGATGCGGGTTAGGGTCCACGAAGCATGTCGCAGTTGGGGCGTTGCCCTTGAAACGCTACAAAAACGCAGGGCTTTCGACGCTGCGCGCTGTAAAAAAAAACGCAAGGTTTTGACGAGCCTGATCCATGCTGCTTTGTGTGGAAGCTGGCCCAGTGCTCGCCCTGCGCGTTGCACAGATGCAGCCTGCGGTAGCACAACCGCAGCAAACTTGCCTACGTGGCCCCTTCCGGAAGCGTAAGCGGTTCTCTGCGGATGAGGTTTGCTTGCAAAGGTGCTGCGTGCTTGGCTTCGAACATCTTAAGAAGCAAGAGCTGTCGAATACGGAGCTCGGCGTCGCGGCGCTGCCGCGGCCGGTTGTGCGCCAGCAACGCAAATATGATTCCCACTAAACCCAGGCACACCCCCTAATAATAAACTGGGGTTGATAGATATGGGGCCAACATTATTTCGGAAGCACTGGGATAACTCGAACCCAGAGAAACTTCTTCTTGGCTCGCCGGCTGGTGGCTGTGCTGCGACTCTCCTCCAGCAGCTCGTGCAAACCTCGCTTTCGGATTTCTACAACGGCGGACCGCACGGGTGGTTGAATTACAGGGAGTCTCCATGAAAATGGGGTTCCTGTTTTGAGAGTACCCTTCTTAGTTTAAACGGGAAACTGCTTCCAACCACTTAGTCTCCATGACCCTTCAAACAATGGGGTTGGCGTTTTTTGAGGGTGCCCTTTTTGGTTTTAAAGGGAAACCAAAAGGATGAACACCATTCTGAGGGGTTTCCCTGAAAAAAGGTAGCATGCAAATAGGGTAGGGTCACCCTCATTTGGGGTAGATGGCCCTGTTTTTGGTAGGGTCATGGAGATTCCTGGTGTTTTACACTTAGTGTTGCCAAGAGAAGGCAAAAGCCCGAGACCCACCATCCAACGTTCCCGTGGCCTTAGGAATTCTGTCCATTGCTCAACCTGTGCTGTCCAATTCAAGCACTGAACGCACTAACAGGGGTCCCCGGATTTGCCCTTCAAACGTTGATCAATTTACTGGCGGGTTCCGTTGAAACGATCGCCACTTTTGGAAGCTTCGAAAAGGGGAAATGGCTCGAAAACCCTCTGATTGCGACGGTCACTCAAATGGAACCAGTTCTCATTTGCGACATTCTGAACTTCTCAGGGCTCCAACGAGCCATCTGATCTCGGCAAATTACCACCTGAAGTCTCCATCACTCCAAAAAAATGGAAATGCCTCGGAAACGTCTGCGACGGAACAAGTACCAAAGCTTCGGGCGTGTCACGGCAGCCTGGGTGTTCTTCCGGTCCTAGCGGTGGTTTCCGCATTTGAGTGCAAGCCTTGGAGAGTGGCGCAGACGGATCTGATTAAACAAACGGGCCCAGTGCTTTCAGGCGAGCCGTTCCGCCACTAAGTAGGCTTGCACCCAGGGAAAACCATCCGGGTAACACCTGGGAAGGATGCTTGGGCATACCTACTATGGTGGCTTGCCTGGAAGCACTGGAGTGTATGGTGGCGAAATCCGGCACTGCACCACAAATTGAAACCCTTGAAATAATAAGGTTTGTTGGAATTTGGGTTGGGGAATCGAATCATTCCAGGGGTTCTGAATAGTGCAGAAGTTTGTCCATCCACAGTAGGGGACACTCAATTTGGTGGAGTTTCCTTTTGATTCCCCCTAGCACCACTCCACAATGGGTACCTGCAAAAACACCAACCGCTTGATGTAGCACAAACATGTCATGCGGCAGTTGCCGACCTCCTTCTCAGCGGGGATTCTAACAATGACCCCCCTTTTCTGGTCATCCGCCACCCCCAGCTTGTTAGGTACGCCAGATTGCGACCACGAGGTTGTATTAAAGAAAACCTCGAAGGGTCCAATGGGATACATCCCCCATTGTATCCCTAATTAACTTGCTTGCCTCAAGGACCAGAGGAGTCAGCAAGACAACACGAATGGGTCTAATCCAGATGAAACTTGCTTCGGTTTCGGCGAGCGGTTCTATCCCTGCAAAATTGCGGGAACTCCGTAGCTGATGGCGTTTTTTCATCTGGGCACATGATAACTTATACTTCGCCAACCGTTTGTTCCTCACTGCCTCAAAAAAAGGTTGACTGGTGGCCGCGTTTACACGGTGCAAATTAGCACATTCAACAATGAATGACAGTTTATCTAAAATAAGGGACCCAGGTTCTTAGAACCTTCACTTTGGACGCTTCAATGTGGCTATAATTTGCTCAGGCAAACTATTCCTGAAACCATGTCGTTGATCATGATCGCTAGACTCTCGCTGCATGTCCAACTGGGAACTTGCAATATGGCCAGTCATGATTCTCCTGCAAAACTGGGAAAACATAAACCATCGCCAAGTCGGCAACCGGCACATACCAGTACCCTCTTTTGATTGCAAGGCGTTGTGCATGTCCGCAAGAGCCCTAACTACAACGGCAATTTCGGATGGCTGCCCAAATGGAAGAACAGGACACCCCCCTTGGCTCCATGAATCTTTTGCCATGGCGTCCCCATGTAGTCTCCTAAGGCTCCCGCGTTGGACGTCCACATCCATGGGTTTCAAGAATCATTGCTGGTTGAATCAGTTTTTCCGGCGACGGAGCATGGCAAGCTCCCAGTTGCTCCTGGGTGCGATCAGTTTGTGGCAAAATCGACAACCCTAGCAACCCGGGTTTGCTCAGTTCCTCCTCAGCGGTGGCGTTCAGCTCCCGCTGCACCTGACGACATCAAACCACCCGTGGTGGTTGCCTGGAAAGCATTATTTGTTTGTTGGGTTCCGGAAGGATACATCCAAAAATCACCTCAACCCGAATGCATCCTGTAAGGTGGGTGTGGGTGTCTTTAATACGTACCCAAAACGGCACCCTGGAAAATGGACACAGGACACAAAAATCTGCGGTCCCCTGCTGGTTTCATTTTGACGCCCGAAGGCTCAGGATGGGACTGGGTCCCAACATGTCTGTATCACCCCATTTTGAGCGTCGCTGTGTCAGAACACAAAGAAAATCGGCCTTTCCACAAAAACTGGCTGGTTCTCAGGGGAATGAGTTGGAATGACACCTATAAATCATTTCTTTCAAGGGAGTATCCCCAAAACCGGCTCATTCCCAACACCCGGACTCGGTTATTCCCTATCTATCGCAGCAGCAAGCAAAAATGTGTCGAAATCTCCAGTCATCCATGTCTCTCAAGTGTTGGCGCCATGTTTGCTTGTCATTGGCCAAGCCATGCTTTATTTTTGTCATTTGGAGTACTCCATAGACCATATTGTGTTCAGATTCAGCTTCACATGCAAGCCACCCCGACTATATGAGATCGTTGTGGAGGAAACTGCCATGCTTCCTTCCAAGAGAGGGAAAAAGGCCGGATTGGGCACCAAAGCCTCCTTCAGCCCCAACATCCCGATCGGATCGGGGTATCCCCTTTAACCGACAAGGAAATTGCGCCATGTGCGTCTGTTGTCCGGGGTACGCTTGCTTTGGAGTGCTTTAAAGTGGAAAAGGAGAACCACTTATTTTTCGGGTTCCCTAAAAGAAAGGGAAAACCCATCCGGGTGTGACGGTGTGTCCTTTTTCGGGAACCGCCACCAAATGGGGCTACCAACTCCAAACGAATGTACGAGCCACCCACATACCCAACCCCCCAAAACAAAAACAACAACAAAAACAAACAAAACCCAATCTGGGCACCCTCAAACCCCAGAAAGTCTGGATCCCTTTTGGTCTTCTCAACTTTTGGTTCCATGCCCCCGCTCCCCGCAAAACCCGCTCGCACCCCGATCCCAGCTGCGATGTCGCCTGGTCCTGGGACTCCTTGGCGGCCTGCAGGCGCTCGGCCACGTGGGCGCGCATGGCCTGGTCCCGCTCCAGCGCCTAGCGCCAGCGCTCGCGGCGAGCAAGTTTTGTTGGGGGGGGGGGACCCGTCTTTTGGGTTTGAAGGTGGAAACCAAGAGGACATGTTGGGGGGGGGCCTAACAAAACAAAGCGGTTGTTTGGGAGTTGGTACCCGTTTTGGGGCGAAACCCACCCATTTTTGCGGTGAGGGGTCCCGTTTCAATTGGCTTTAACGGGAACCACAAGCAAACCGAAATCCATTTGTTTGAGGTGCTTTTGAGTTTTGACACACACCCAAGCGCTTGAGCCAATCCGGCAGGGTTCACTCGGCCATGGTTGATGCAGCCGGGGTTGCCGGAGACCCAATTTGGAGGCATTTCGTAGCACGTAGGCTTTTGTTGGACCATGCAACATTCCTCCAACAGTCATCCCATGTATATAATTGAATCACTTTCTGAAACCTGACCCGGGAAAATGGAGGAGGGGTTGCCTTTTTCCTTGTAGGGATGCAAACAAGTGACAGGCTTCTAGGTTGGAAGAAACATCTGCTGGGGCAAACCAACTGGCAACATCTGCCCACATTAGCCATGGAATCCAACAAGGACGAACCAAGCCAGGGGTACCCTCCCACCAATTAACATGGAACCTGACAGGGGGGGTCCTGTAAGACGAGTTTCCTTCAACTCCCAACCAAGCCGAACCGTCCACACACCAACGTCTCACCAAAATCCCCCAGGACCCTCCGGCCTTTTGCTCGGAGTCAGCAAGGGCGGTGGATACCCTGGCATGCGTGATTGTGTGCCCTTCAAACATATGTAATATGTATATATATACACTGCATTGGGTTGGTTCTTTTGGTATTCGAAAGCAACATGTTTGTTTGTATAATAATAACAATAATGATGGTAAAAATAAGAGTACTAATACTAATAATAATAATACAAGTAATAATAACACAACCAATCCAACACGTGTTGTGTTTTTTTAATACAACCACCCAAAGCATGGGGCCTCCCCATAGGACCTCAAATGACTGGCCAGAAACGCGCAAACAACTTGTTGGGCCAGTACTAAGCACTAAAATGATGAACACCAACACGGCGGCCAACTCAACAGGTTACTCTTGCGAAACACACACCCTAACACGCATAAACACCGGCAACTTGTGAGCGCCTAACTACTCGTGACGCAGCATGGCTAAGGGGTTCAACATTTTGATGTCCAACGGGTCCAACCACCTAAACATCACTGGGCCGTCCTCAGATCCCCTGCTTCAAGTTGGGTCTGGAACACCTCACTAAACCTGAACCTCCGTTGCCCAAAGGACCTGGAAATAAAAGGTTAACCTTTTGGGACCATGACTAAAAATGGACCAACACCAGAAAACCAAAAGGTTAAAAGGTCGGCTTTGGGCAACTGAGTAACACCTAGAAGCCTAAGGGACCAGACGGCTGGGTAACCGTCGAGATCATAACCGCATCCACAAATGAGTCATGATCAAAACCTGGTACACAAATGGTGAACCCAGAACCATGTAAGGAGTTGAAAAGGCAGATATCCGCAACCATTTATGGCTGGGATTGCAACCCTTGCTTACCTTCATTTACCCGGGTTTTGATTGCGACTCAAATGACTCGTGCAACCATGGCGGAGTGTCTCGCTCTGTAGTCGGTTGGTATGATCAGCTGCCTGGCAAGGTGAGTTAAAGTCCACTGCCACGCCATACAGTGGTCGCGAACTCCATTTCACACCAGAAACCCTGGAATGATTCGAGTCCCCAACGTAAAATCCAACAAAACGTCATGCTTTCAACCATGGATTGAAAGTGGTGGGAACGGATTTCGCAACCATCCACAGTATGGGTTTGAAATAGGGAACCTGGGTCCCAAAATCGGTAGTTTCCCCGTGGCTTCCCTTCAAAACTACCCCAAAAGCTACCCCCCCAAAAAAAGAAAGAAGAGAAAAGACAAGAGGACACATGGAAGTGCAAAACCCTCTTTGGAGATCACTTTCCTTTTGGAGGATGCCCCGCTTAAACGCCGACTTGAATCCAACAAACTGCGCAGCTTCGCGTCTAAAATGTAAGAGGCTCAGGGAGTTTCATCCTTGCTCATGTTGCCCGCCGCGTGTTTTTGGCCCACAAGGGTATGCAAAAACACACATGCTTCAAATCTCCATTTTCTGTTTCGCACCCTGCAACAAAATATGCATATTTCCAGCAGCGGAATCGATTCCCTGTGAAACCGACTCAAGGGAACATAAACAATATTCATTTCAGCAAATGGAACTCTTTTCCTGGATTGGGTGATTTGGATGAACATGAGGTAAAAAAAGCCGGCTATATTAACCCAACCGTTCTTCTTGGAAGTGGAAGTATGTATATATATATATATATAAATACCTAGGTCCTCCAGTAGAGAGGTTAGCATAAGGGTACCCTTTTGTCTGTGGTCTATTTAGTAGGGGAACCCTCCCCCAAAAAGGGAAAAAGGGCACTACTGGGGGATCTAGATACATAGATCATCGAGCACCAAATTCTTTAGCAAACGGAAGCTGCTTTCGCCCAGGAGGCCTCCTGGGCCTTTCGCTCGATGAGCTCACCGAGGTCCTCAAACGAGGCATGTCGTTGCTGGCTCAGGTTTTTCAATTGAACCAACAGGAAACCCAGCATTTTTTCGGAGGTCCATTTTTGAACCACTTGGCTTGTCTTGCGATCGGTGCGATAGGTAGGGAATGGGAATACAATGACCCCCCACAAAAAGCCATCCAACTGGTTTCCTTTCAGGGGACCAAAGCCTGGGTTCATTCCCACGTTCCCGACTGAGCACCAGCAAGTTGTCTTAAAATGTGGATCTGGAACCCCAGAAAATGACCTTCCGTTTTTGGTTGGTTTCCCTTTAAAACCACTAAACAAAGATACGGACTCGTCGGAAAACTGCTACGACCCCGAGATGCTCAATGGGGTGGCGTTCTTGTGGCGCCTAGTCGCTCGGGAGTAGAATCAGAATAGTCCAACGGCTCCAACAGGCCTTTCCTGATCACCACAAAATGACTCGTATTCTCTAGGTCCTCCAGTAGAGAGGTTAGAATAAGGGTGCCCTTTTTTCTGTAGTCTATTTAGTAGGGGAACCCTCCCCCCAAAAAGGGCAAAAGGGCACTACTGGGGGACCTAGCAATCAAAAACCCACACGGCCGGTAAGTAGGGGAATCTTGCAGCGAAACAAGCAAGATGAGCAAACGCAGCAAATACAACTTGTAGCATGACAATTGCATGACACATGCGATGCTGAATGCGATCAAAAGATCCTTTATATGGGATGCCCATCGGAGAACCACTACAAATATGATGTGTCCCACCAAATGGGACATTTTACTCATGGTCATTTGGGGCCAGCAATACTGATCAACCCCCATATGTTTTTAATCGCAGAAAGTTTCTCCCGAAGGTTGGTGGGTTTGCGTCAAGCGTAGACGCTCCAAATGGTTATATATTGGTATTATTATGTTCTAGTTCAGGCCGACCACATGTCACAATGCAAGCAATAGTTGGTCAGAGGTTAAAAATCAATCGAGACATTCGCACAATCGATCTTGATAGTTAAACATCGGGCACTAGCGCCCGCACAATTTCAACATCATCGAGTCCTATCGTGCTGTGAAACAGCAGCCAGAGACGTTTCTGCATCTCAGGGTTATGCAGACACGTTGTTTGGACGTGTTCAAACAACTTTAGCAACAACCGCCTCCTGGTGTTTCTTGACATGCTGCTCGTTTAGAGCAAGTTTGCTACCAGCCTTAGCATATGGCATAGCAATATGAAGCTGAATTCAACTATGCGAGCTTTGAAAACTGGCTTCCCTTTTCATGCCCTGCCCTTGAATGGACTCTGCCGCCTTTTTCCCCCCAAACACTAAGACCCCAATGAGGCTGAGGTATCAAGTGGAGGAACTGGGAGGAGGTTGGAATCTAACAAGCTGACCCCAAATTCCCTCTCTCCCAAGTGAACAAGTAAGGGAAACAACCCCTCTCTTTCACAAACAAACCCCCCAGTCAAAGCTGTCCTCAAATCCCCCGCTAAAAGTTCAACTTGTGGGTCAAACACGGACTCCATCACTAAACCCCCTCAAAACCTAAAAGCGAAATCGGATGGCTGGTTGAACCACCAAGAAACGAACGACCCCAAAAGCCGGGGCTTTCTTTTCGGTCCTGGCGCACAGCTGCGAACTCCTCCTCGATCTTCACGCACAAAGACCTGCGAGCCGCGTCTTGCGGCCACATTGACTGACCCCGGCTTTGGGGTGCGCATGACTCAAGTTCCCTTATGCGCCTTGGAGTGGGCAGTTGGACCTGCTGGGAGCTGGGAGCTGGGAGCTGGTTGCTTTCGTTGCTCAGGCCCACACGTCAGCTCGTCAGCGAATGCTTTGCGCACGTCCACATCGAGCTGTTGAATCTGCGCCTGCGCGGGTGGTGGGTGGTGGGGGGTTCCCGACATTTCGTTCAAAAGGGTCCCTACTTTGATTCACAGAAGGGAATGATCGAGTCCGGGTGTTGGGAATCAACCTGGGGATTCCCGAGCAAAGGAAACCAAGGATGGTTTATTGGGGTCATTCCCACATTGTCTGCTGAGGACCAGCAAGGAAAGATATTCTACGGCTGGTCGGCAAAGCCCCATGAGTCTCGGGTTACCATCCCGCATAAATTACTTTCGTGGACCTCATGGTCACTCCAAATCCGTGGCTTTCGTGGCTCGCTTAGGAACCTGTCTAAAATCCCAAAGGCTTCATCTTGGCCAACCGCAAATATGGCTATGTCTTTTCTTAGACCCCCAAAACGGATTTTGGTTTTCCTCCTGGCCGTCTCTTTACAAGTAAGCAAAACGGGTCCCACAAAGAGGCACCCATTTGATCAGAGCAAACGGTGGGAACCCTTTTGACCGGTTGGCTCACTGCGTGGTCCTCTCGCCACTGAAGATAGGGACTAAGAACTGCCAATGTCAGGAGCTAATCCCATATTCCCGGAGCAGCACCCAGAAACACTCCCCTTGCGCAGGCAACCAAAACACCAATGCAGGGGTGAGAGTTAGGCCCTCAAAAAAAGAGTCTCTGAATGAGTAGTGTTTAGTTTTGCAGTGGTATTGGTTGAATATTGGTTTCGTATTGGTGATGGAGGAAGCTGGTGCGGTGAAGAGTTTTGGGGAGACCCTATCTTACTTGTTGGTGTGAAAAAACACATTCTGCATTGAGCACCCTTTCCCTTCCAACTGTTGGACAACTTTTCTGTGTTCGGCACCCGTTGGTTTATTGGGTGCCGACAACTCCCCCTATTCTGACATCTGCTTGTTCAGGACAGAATTGTCAAAGCCAGGTTCTCCCAGGTAGAATGCCCGATATTGTCAAACCCTAACAAGCAGTTACACTCCTGCAAATTAGTATAGAGGTTGTCAAAAAAGAGACACACCCAAAAGGAGCCCGAAAAGGTCTTCATGAGGAATCTCCACTGGGTGGCACCTGACCGCCACCAAAGGTCCCTTGTGGGATAACCCACGCCCGGCCTCCAAC